GGTTTTCATTGCACCTCTTCAGCCTTAGTCTGACCCTGGAGACAGTTCAAGTCACGTGGAAGACCTCCTGCTTTGTTCCAGTTCCAAATAAGACTCAGCCAAGTGACTATAGACCTGTTGCTCTGACATCCCACATCAAGAAGGTCCTGGAGAGACTTCTGTTGGTTCACCTCAACAAACAAACAAGCAGATATCAAGACCCCTGCAGTTTATTTATTGCACTAGAGTTGGAGTTAAAGATGCCATCATACACCTGCTTCAACAAACCCACTGTCATTTAGACAAGGCAGGGCACTGTGAGGATCATGTTCTTTGATTTCTCCAGGGCATTTAACACAATTCAGCCTGATTTACTTTTTGAAAGACTTTAAAAGACTCAAGTAGAGGCTTCAGCAAACACCTGGATCAAAGACTACCTGACAAACAGACCACAGTTTGTCAGACTGAAGGGTCAACTGTCTAATCAAGTTGTCATCAGCACAGGAGCACCACATGGGATGGTACTCTCTCCATTCCTTTTTACTCTGTACACCTCTGACTTCCAGTTCCAGACAGAGTCCTACCATCTGCAGTAATACTTGGATGACTCTGCTGTCATTGGATGTCATTGGAAACAATCATATGATCCTCAATGTCAACAAAACAATGAAGATAATTGTATATTTCAGAAGAAACAGAAATAAGTTGAAACTTCTTAACATCATGGGAGAAGAAGATGAGGTGGTTGAGGAGTATACATACCTTGGTGTTCACTTGGACAACAAACTGGAGAAATAACTGTGAAGCTGTCTACAAGAAGGGACAGAGCAGACTGGACTTCCCAAGGAAGCTTAGGTCCTTCAGCTAGGCAGCAAGATGCCGTGAACCAAGATGTCTTCTATAAGGTTGTTGTAAAGAGTGTAATATTTCCTCTTCCATCCTCTGCTGGGATAACAGTACCAGAGCTAATGACTTAAAAAAAAGGTCAACAAGCTAATTAATCAGGTTAGCTCTGTTCTAGGAACTCCTCTAGAACCTCTGGAGATTATTTTACAAAGAAGAATTCTTCATAAAGTGAAGAACATTATGGAAAACAGTGAGCATCCTCTTCCGATTAGTTTTAAACAGCAACAAAGTGTGTTCAGTGAGAGGCATATCCAGATCCGACAGAAGACAGACCTCTACAGAAGATCCTTCCTGTCTATTGACTGACTATTTTTAGAGAAGTATAAGATTGTCTAAGAATATGAACACAAATTTAAACTTTATTTAAAGCAATAAAATACAGCAAACAAAGGAGTGTTTTTTCCCCCACATCAATCTTTGCATTATGCAATTGATGCTCATTTGATCAACATTTTAAATAAAACAAAGAACCTGATTCATTTACAAATATTAAAGTTGCTAAAAATTCTACTTTGATTGAAATCTATAAAAGTCAAATTTAAAACATTCACATTTACTGTTTAACTTGTAAACAATAGAATTAGAAAAAAAAAATCCAACATAAAAACATTGTGGTGTAATAAATTAAAGGCTCCAAAGAATGACTTTTATAAATAGAACCTGACTTTGGGTTAGTCAGTGCTGTTTATCGGCCGTGTGTCTTTGATGTGCAGTGACACCTTGGTGAGAGGAGTGCACTCAGAATGAATCATAAACAACAGTATCATGTCTGATCCGGCTAAAGTCATGGTTAACCTGGGGGTGATGATGTTGTTCTGAAACAGAGCAGGTGTGTGTGTGTGTGTGAGAGTGAGTAAAGCTGGGAGCTGAATGCCTACCAACCAAATTAGGTGGCTTAAAAACAGACCCTGCAGCTCCCTGGATAATGGTTATCTGACCGCTCAGAAGTGGTGAAAAAAAAAAAAAAGAACAAATATTGTCTTGTTTTTTTTTTTTCTTTCATCGCTGTGGAGCTTGATGAAACAATAAAACCAAATTATGAGTCAGACAATGACAAAGAAGGTTGGTATAGTTCAGTCTAAAAGCGATTTTTAACTACAGGCCTAAAAAAAAAAGAGTCGGAACAAGGCTGGTGTTCTTGCATATGAGGGGGTTTACTGCAAAGCGTGAAAAGGACTGCAAACCTACAAGCTGAGACTAGAAATCTTTCTGCGATTTGTTTACATCTAGAAACTAAAATTTGTTCTATGTGACAGAATAACAATTTCAAGTGAATTTTCTTCCATTGCTTTTGCAGTAAAATAACATTTTTTGTAAATGGAAACATTTTTTTAAATTGAACTTTGAAAAATGTTTCAATAAAAAAAGAGTTGAGGGTTAGTTTGCTGTTTTCTTATATTTTGTTTTTTCAAAAAAACAAAAAACAAATTTTATTAATCTTTAATATTTTTGTAAAAATTCAATATTTTAATTTTTTTTGTTTCAAATTTTGTATTTTTTAGATCAAGTTCACAGATTGCATCATCTTCACTTCTATCCACTGTAGTGAGGAGCATAAAGTTGCATTTCAATTGTTCAGCACGAACATGATAACCTTTTTATTCGGCATAAAAAGCAAGCATTTGTATTTGCATAAAGTGAAGAGATTAAGATTTGTTGAACGCAATTTGAAAAAAAATCAATCTGAAAAACAAAAATTTCTAAAAACGAAAATTACAATTTTATGTGAAAAATACAACTTTGAAAAGAAATGTAGAAAAAATATAGAAAAGAAAAAATCTAAAGTTTTATTTCTGGATTGCATTTTATAAAATTTCTATTTGCAAAATGTGATAAAAAAAAATTATTCTATTTAAACACGATGTTGTTAGCTTGTAACAATAATGGAACAGAACTCACTCCATACTAACAAAGTACAACAACATTAAAGTGTTCAAATTGACTCTGTACTTTAACTAGGCCAACTTAACAGATAAACAGCCTTCATTCTGTAGCTGGAATTAATGTTAAAGGTCCTTTTCTCATTATAAGGTGAGTCTTAGTCACACTCTGATTTTTTTTACAGGTTTTACTCATTGATTTAGCTCCACAGGAAGAAAAAAATTTTTAAGCTGGTATATATCTAAACATCCAATGGCAGCCAACCAATGCTCTGATTTTTCTGTGCTTGGAGGCCATATGTGTTTTTTAAATCTTGAACCCTAGGATTACTGTATATCTGTTTCTCAACAGAAAAATCACAACATTTCTGATATAAATGATCTCAGTTATGCAGGAAAAATTAGAGGAATAAAGACGTACAAAGAGGAGTTCTTACTTTTAAAAAACAATATAAAGGAAGGTAATAGGGATATAAATATAATACTACTACTAATAAAGATTGTTTGGTTAGTTTAGCTTTTGGTTAAAAAGGCTATTTGGAAAAAAAGTTGTCAAAGGTGCGTTCTCACCAAACGGGATACCTGAGAAAATTTTGCCTGTTTCATCAGCTCTTTTCTTGATATTTGCCTGGCATTTTGCATGCCACAGGGATTCACACAGCGAGTCAAAGCCTCGTACATCATGGAGCATGCTGGTCGTTGGTGTCAACCCAGCATGGCAGACACGGGTTTAAAAAGCGACTGGAAGTCTTTACTTTAGAAAGCAAAAAAAAAAAAACTGGCGGTATTCCTGGCTTAACCAGATTACCAGAGAGGGAACCAGCATGGGGGGGATACCACCATCACCCCCTCAAGCAACAACGTCTGAATGACGGTCGCTTTCAGCGTTACTTCTGCCTATCTGTGACTCAGTTTGGGATCCTGCTGTTCTGCATTCAGGGACGAATCACCAGGACAACAAATGGTTAGGTGTGTCGGCATTCTGTGGCTGTGCGAAAAAACGGGCAGAGAAAAAAACTGAACTGGGACCAGTATGCTGGCCGTGTCAGCCTCTAGAACTGGGGAACCACGGCAGAAGATCTGAGGATCTGTTGTAGTTAATGCAGATATGCCATTCCCCTCCGCAGACACTCTGCTGCACCATTCCAAAAATGTAGGTAACAGCAGACAGGAGGTTTCTGATTGGGCTAATATACATCCGCTCTACACTATGCGTATTTCCTGTTTGGTATCTTACCGGCTTGTTTTGTTTGTATGACCGCCATTGGGGAAAAAGACTCGTGATAATGGGCCCGCTAGAAGAGCGAGGTGCGTTAGAACGCTGTGACCCTTTTACCTCCTAGATCCCCGCTCTTTTTCGCCCTCATGTCCCTCAGTTGTCGTACAAACTTGCCCCCACTTCCTCACCGCCTCGGCCGTATCTAGACCCACAGCTAGTTCCTGATTGTCCCTCCTCAGCCAGGGAAGCAGAGCTAGGAGAGGCCAGGGCTGGAGGTAGCTGCTTTGCTACTTGCAGAAAGGAGTACCACAGAGGATCATAAAGGCAGATAGCGGTGGAGTTGGGGAGAGAAGGCCTCCGTCTGCGCTGGAGGTTAAATGACAAACATTTCTTCTAGGGCTAAATTAAAACAGCTTTTTAAAAAGCCACCTTAAATCCTCTTAAGAGTATCCGTACTTCACCCTCTGTCAATTTTCTCGATCTTACATTTTTAATAAAAGGAAGCTTGTCTCCGCTGCTCCACCTTCGCCTCGCTCAGCTTTGCATCGTTTCGGTACAGATTTGCCTTCTACATGGAGATAACCTAGCCTGGGTGCCATTCCGAACTTAGTCCCGCCCACAACAATTGAGGTCGGGAAGTTCGGTCTGGCATTGCTCCATAGTAGCGCGAGTATGCTAGCACAATATCTGGCGATCCAATCAAATTGTCAGGGCGGGCTTTATACGATGATGGACAGGTGATCAACAGTAACGTAATCAACCACGTGACCAAAGCGCACATGGGAGACAACAACAATGGCTGCCGCTGGAGAGCTGAGGTGTGTAGATTCTGCTATTAGGTCTGTTCTAGAAGATATCGACAGCAAATTAATTTTAAAAGAGGAACAGAGAAACTCGATCAAGTCTCATCTTCTTATTCTAGGCGTGAAACTGCACGCTTTGATTTTTGTTGACAACAACTATGCCTCGCTTAACATACGTCACGCACTCTGTTGCTCTTATTGGTTGTAGGTCTATCCAATTGAGTACAGAGGCATTTTTTTTCCTGGTTCGTTCAAAACACGCCCCATAATCACAGCTCTATGGAGCAGTATCAGACTCATATTCTGCCTAGAATTGAGTCGGACTACGTCAGGCTAGAGATAACCAGGGAATCCTTCACTCCAGGTGCAAAATTGGCTTTCAGTGTGAACATACCTTAAAACTCCCCCCTATGCCTTCAAATTAAAGTTAATAACATGTTAGAGATCTATGTTTTCCTAAATAAAAGTTGTTAAAATGATTTCGATAGATTGTCAAAGAATTTAGACCAAGAGATCAACAGGTAAACAGATTAACAGACTCATTAAAGCCATGAGCTGGAGATCACATTAACCTCAGGGCCTCTTTTAGCACCCTTCTTATGGATGCATCGCTCTTTGGAGTAGCGCTCTCCTCGATGGATTTCCAGGTAGGGATGCCACTCCTCGGATGGGGAGCACAGCGATTTCAGACGCTGAAGAGAACGAAACATGGAAAATTGGAATAAAAACACAAAGGACGCACAGGACTTCAAATGAACGCATGCTTACACACCTTCCAGGGATTTCCTGTAGCTGTTATCAGCTTATAAACGGCAACAACAGGGATCCAGATCAGAACGAAAACAACCATGCACCATCCAAGAGCCAAGCCCCATGACGGGTACTCTACATTTCCATACTTTGGGTGTTCAAAGGTGGCCACAGACCATCCCAAGATGACCTAAACAAAAAAAAAAATGAGACCAATAGTGGATCCGCTGTTTCTTTATAAGCATTTCCAGCAGTTTGTCTGTTGCTGTTTGGCTGTGACACAAATCTCAGCTGTGCTGGTTCCATCAACACCTTTGTTTATGGATGTTTGAGATCGGCCTGTTTTTCAGTGTAGTCCTGTTTCTCTGACTGTGACTAACTGGATGTGTTCTCTTCCTCCTCTGACATGGGAGCTGGCTCGGAGCTCGTCTGCCTGGCTGTGTGTTTCCTGGTTGGGGCCGTCTTTTACAGCTGCTTTTTGTATCTCTGCTTCTGTCTCCTTGAACCCCAGTCCACCTCGGCAGATGGCCGCTCACAGTGAGCCTGGTTCTGCTGGAGGTTTCTTCCTGTTAAAGGGGAGTTTTTCCTCTCCACTGTCGCTACAAGCATGCTTAGTGTGAGAGATTGCCTTCGAGTCAATGAGTCAATGCAATCAACTGGTTTTCCTTAGATAGAACACTCTGGATCAATCTGACTGGATGATCTGGTGAACTGTAAAGTGCCTTGAGATGACCTGTGTTGTGAATTGGTGCTACAGAAATAAACTGAATTTAATTGAATAAAGACATAGAGGACAATTTTTTAACTTCCAGGTAGATCATCTAAATATCGAATCACTGTCCCCCAGACATCCACGGTTATATTTTTTATATTTATATTTTTTTTAAACAAAGAGGAGTGTGTATGACGTCATCCGCGCGCCGGACTGGAGTTGTTTCAGGCACTACGCTCTGCCCCTTCTATTCATTCAACTAGCTAATCTGAATCGTTCAATTCCATTTGGACAGCAAGATCATCTGTGGTAATAGCACTAGACATCTTCCAGGCATGTGAGTAAAACTAGCAGCAGTTCAGCGGACAGGAAGACTGACGAAGAATGACGTCGACCGCGCCGCTTTATTTTAAAAAAATATATACTGTAAATATAAAAGATATAACTGGGGATGTCTGGGGGACAGTGATACCCTTACTTTGAGTAGGTAAATAAAATGATTTGCCAATGGAATGAGTATTTTTACTCTTACAATAAAGATAATTAGATAACATGCTCTTAAAATAAGACGTTGTAATTATTTTGTCTTATTCTAAATGTAAATTGTCTCGTTCCATTCGCAAAGTGTCTCACTTTCCTCCTCAATTCAAGACAAAATGCACTTATTTTGAAGAAAATAGGACTTATGGCTACAAATACGTCTGCAGTTTGTCTGCAGCTTGTTAACTTACACTCATCATAATCCCTTAGTTAGTCAAGAAACTTGTTTAGATTTATATTATTTTGTTAAATGATTTTTGGAATAAATACCTTTTTGCACATAAACTGTGCAAAAAGGCATGGAAGGCAAGGAAATAGAAACAGTGTGTGAATGTGTGTTTATTACCAGTATGATGCAGGGGCTGATGAAAAACCAACATGCCCTCCACCACAGCCAGAAACCGAAGGATTTTTTTCCAAGCATCATCTCAATGTCTTTGATAAACCGGTTCCCACCTGAGACAAACACATCAGAGGAGGTTTCAGGCTCTCCCTCACTTTTTATGAATACCTATACCTGTCTCTAAGTGTTCACACTGGAAAAACGATCTAGAAATAAGTTAAACTTTCTTAAATTAAGCGTATTTACCCTTAATTTGATTAGGTAAATGAAGTAGTTTGCCAACGGAATGAGTATTTTTACTCTTAAAATAAGACAATTAGATAATACTGTATGCACTTGAAATAAGACAATGCAATTGTGTTTTCTTAATTTAAATGTAAATTGTGTTGTTCCATTTGCAAAATGTCTCTTTTACCTCCTCAATCCCAGAACAAATGCACTTATTTCAAGAAAAAATACTCTAGATGAATTTAGATTTCGATTTTTTCCAGTGTATATTTACCGTATATGTAGGCGATTCCGATTATCTCTAAGAGAACCAGAATTAGCAGCACCCAGCTGGCCACAAACTGGTCAATGAGCGTCACCCAGTATATTCCAGCCTGCAGACCAGCCGATAGAACACCATGAGGTTTTTAAATCAGGGAACGGCAGAAGAAAGCTGTGGTTAGACAGACTTACTTTTGTGACGCAGGGTAAGCCCAGAAGGTAGAGGACAGAACAAATCGTTATCGTCAGTAAGGCCCGCTTAGATTTAAATGTTTTGGGGAAAGCATCCAGCAGGCAGGTGGTTAAAACCTCTAGAGACACAAGCATAGGCTTTAGGTAAAACAAAGATCTAACAGGGAAGCAGGCAGGCTCGGACTGGTAATCTGTGACACCGGACATTTGCCCAGTGGGCCGGTCCTAATTTCAGGGCCCTCCTTAAATCATACCGACCCCAACACTTACTCTCCAGCTGAAGCTCCTACCTGCGACGGTAAATAACTCAAGGAGCTCAAGAAGTAATCCAATGTTAACTCCCTAAATAATGCATGCAGTATATATAGCACTTCCTCTCCATGCACATCCTAGTGACGGTTGGCTTATGGTGTAATTTTCTATTTCTTCAAACTGTAAAATCCTTGTAACAAACTAAATAATAGTAGAACTAAAATGCTTTCTTTAAATCAAACTACGATGTTCGTCTTATATTTATGTTCGAATATTTTGCAAAAATATGTTGCGGTGCATGATGGGGTTTTGAATCTAAAGGCTAATGTTTCCCATCTTACTTGCATTGTTGCCAGGTTGGGATGTTTCCCAATCTGGCAGTTTAGGATGGCCGTCTCTGGGTAAAAAATGCTTTTCTTTAGATTAATGGACTAAGAGATCATTAGACTTTTTTTCCATAAGTGGAAATGATGGAAAATTAATGGAAATCGTTCCCAGTCCGAGCTTGGAAGGAGGTAAGGTTCCGGAAATCTAGTATGAGGTATCTTACCTATTCCTGCAAACTGAGAGTCCAGACCAACAGTCAGAAGCATGAAGAAGAACAAAATGGACCAGAGTTGGGAAACGGGAATCTTTGAGAGAGCTTGTGGATATGCAATAAAGGCCAGACCAAATCCTGCAGCAAAACAAAATGACATCGGGGCTGTTGGTTCATTATGGGGCAATTTGGTGCGTAAGTAAGAAAACTAAGTAAGTAAGAAAACTTAAAAAAACTGCTTGATTAAAAAATTATTTTAATATTAACTTTTTGCTTGGATTTTATTATTTCAAAAAGTTTCTTCATAATCAATCCTTTCTTTTATTTTTATTTCCCTTTTGTTTCTCCAATTTCATGTTTTAAATTTGATTTTTTTTTTCTATTTTTTGTCTTTCAGATTAGGTTTTATGAATTGTGTTATTTCCAAGTAGGATTTTACAGATCACATTATCTTTACTGGAGTTATCTAGAAGAAATTTGGGAAAAAGTCAGGAAAAAAAAGGCAAATTTCAAAAAACTAAACTTGAAAAAAGTAAAATTGAAATAAATATATCAACGAAAATAAAACCATAAATATTTTAAAATAAAATATAAAAAGGCAAAAGTATTCTCATAACCTTTTATGGATTCATAATTTTGGATTAATGAAAGTTTCATTTCTGGATCATGCATTAAATTTCTTTACTTAAAACAATAAGGGAACAAAATTCACTCCATAGTTTAATAGTAATCCAGTCATCAGGGTTGGCAAAGCACTTCAAATGCCTGACCTTCCTTCACCAGTTCCTCCACTGGTATTTTGTAGACGTGAGCCATATGACCCAGTATGGAGAATATTGCAAAGCCAGCAAACACACTGGTCCCTTTAAAGACAGAAAAACAAATTCTGAAAAGTAATTTTTTTTTTTGACAAATAAAGAAATAAGCTGAGCCCCTACCAGCATTAGTAACTGTCACAACAAAGGAGTCTTTGAACACATTGTTGTGGAAGTTGTTATAGGAGGCCAGAGTCATGAGTCCTCCCCAGCCGATAGAGAGGGAGTAGAAGGTCTGGGTTGCAGCGTCTTTCCACACCTATAACACACACACACACACACAGACACAGTCCAAAACGAGAGAACTAGTGTTGCATGGTAACATGGGCGGTTCTAGACTGGGGCCAACGGGGGCCAGTGCCCCTGTGGATCCTGTCTGGGCCCCTGTTATGGCCCCAGTACTGAAGACATAATACGAAAAGAAATTGTCATAATGATGATATGAACTGATATGGTTACTGCTTTTATTTCTTTAAAAAATTCTGTTTAACTAATTATTTAAAGACAATAAGGTGATAGCTTCTGTTTTATTGAGATAGAATCCCAGTTTTCATCTGCTAAAAGTTTTTTTTCAAAACAATGAAAAAAATACACTTTTACAGCTGAATTTATCAGTATTTAAAGTATTTAAAGAAAACTTTAATTTTAACTTTAATAAAGTTATAAATATGTTAAATTCTTAAATTATAAATGTATATTCAAAAATAATAGCTTTATTTGATCTTTTAGATATTTATATAGCTGAGTTGCTTTTTTGCTATGCTTAGGGATTTTTATTTTGTTTAAACGATAATCCAAATTAACATTTTCAAGCCAAAAATAAATATTTTTAGTGGGTAGACATAATTTTAATTAAACCTAACTGAATGGAAATTTCACTTCATGCAGATTTCTTAATGTATTTGAATCCCTTGCCCATTTCTTTTGCTTAATGCTTTTCTGTGCCCCCCATGAAAACAATAACCTTTCGGACCCTTACCTGAGCATCAGACAGCTTTGAGAGATTGGACTGGCTGCCAATGTAGAACTCTATCCCATCTTTGGCGCCCTCTAGTGTCACACCTCTGATCAGCAGGATCAAAATCACCACATAAGGAAACGTAGCTGTGAAATATACAACCTTCACAGAAAGAAAATTAGTTAAGTAGTGAGTACAGCCCAAGTAATCTTAAATAAAAGTTTTAATAGTGCCATGAATTACACAATGATATGTTTCTTATTTCATTTTAATGTATTTTATAATATTAAAGGATTACTATTTTCCATTTTGCTATTTGTATTTCTTATAAAGTTAATATTTTAGGCCTTATAAAGTGAAATAAAGTAAATTTACTGCTGAATTTACCTTCTTTCATATATTTATACTGTTGTACCATGTTTTGAAGTTATTTAGAGTTTGATTTGTCTGGTTCATTAACAAAAATCCTTTCTGGGGTTTTGAACAGTAATAATTCCCTTTACAGCTCTTCATTGTGTTAATTTAAATGCTCATAACCTGCTAGGGGCTGATTTTAAATGCCAAACTGCAGTAATTTGTCTTTCTTTGGTTAAAATACAAGATTAACCATTTAGCCCACTTTAACCATTAGCCCTTGAATGATATATTACCTACTATAAATTAAGTTGAAAAAAAATTATAGTCAAGAAAAAAGGTAAAAAGCTAATTGAAAAATTTAAAAGTTAATAAGAGCAGTTAATAATTATATTTAGGTTTATAAACTAAAAAATGTAAGAACCAGTATCAGCATTAATGCCTCTAAGTTTATGTTGTACAAACAAAATGTGTTTCTTTCACTCTCAGTGTTTTTCTTGAATTTGTTATTTTTCTCAATATATTTCTAAAGTTGGTATTTCTTGTTATAACACTGATATAAATTTTTGCCATCAAAATATAAATTTTTTCTTAATGTTACAAAGGTAATAAAGGTCTTGTCCTGGATTCCAATAACACTGTTGGCTTGAAATTTTGGAGTGGTATGGAGTGAATTTTATCCCATTATTGTTTCAAGCAAAGAACAGTATTTGTTTTAAATAAATTTTCATATTTTTGTTTTTCACATTCTGTTTATCCGATTTTGCTTCACAAATTTTACATTCAATATTTATTTCAAATCTATATTTTTCAGATTTGGTTTTACGAATCATATTCTTTTTAAATAGCATTTTATTGATCAATTTCTCTTCACTTGTGGTGGCAGGCTTTCAACTGGAATGAGAAGCAAACTCATTTCTGTTGGTCTGCAGTATTTTATTGGTCAATTTGCACGTCTAGAATGAGCGTTGGTTTTGGACGTGAAGTGAGGAGAATGTGATCTGTGAAAGACAATTTCAAACGAATGAAAATCTTTAAATTTAAATTCTTTAAATTTAAAGTATAAAATCTGTAAAAAAAAAATAAAAATTATACTAAAAACAGCAAAGTTATTTTGTAAAGTTTCATTCCTTGAATGCATCTTTTTATTCTAATTAACAAAATGTTTTTTTTAATTTCTATCTACAAATCATGTTCTATGTGTGCAACAATAGTGAAACAAAATTTACTCCATATGAATGCTGAGGTAGAGGAAAATTATGTGCTTATGAGCATATTGATGATTTTCTAAATCAGATTTATAAAAATATGAAACGGATTTGTCTTTCTTTTTTTTTTAGCATACATTACATTTTAATTTTAACTCCTGCAATGATGGACAACCTTATCCATAAGCTTTAGACATGAGGAGTGAGTTGACATACTTTTCCTGATGACTTGATGCCTTTGATCAGAGCTGCAGCTACAAGGATGGAGCTTAACAGCAGACAGAGAGCAAGATGCCAAACCACCGGTCCTGTTTCATCCATGCCGCTGGATCTCTGCAGAGCCACATTGCTAAACACAAGAAGACATCCTTAGCATGCATTTAGGTCTACATATTGTTTAGCTTGCTCATTGGAAATGCTGTCCTTACTCCCAGTAGTATTCGCTTGGGCTCTGGACCACCGTTGTGATTATGTTGGATGAATCACAAGTGTTGTTTTCTTGGGTCCAGTTGGCCACCAAAACACCACTAATGTTACAATGTACTAAACAAAAACCCAACAACCAATCAATGAATGAAATTTCCTTCGATTGTATCAATTAATTTGTCCCGATGCAACCATTAGATATCTGATTATCTTTCCAAAAGGCTTAAAACCTTTTAGCAGGAAGCAGATAAGTACCTATAGGTGTGTCACTGCAGGTGTTGTCCGTCCTGTTGGGGCAGCTGGACCAGGGAAGAGCCGACTGCATGGAGGCAAACATGTAGTACAGGCTGTAGGCAATGATGACATTGTAGTAAATGGAGACTATGAGGGTCACTATCACCATCCCTATGCCAACACCTGGAAAGAGAGGCAAGAATATAAAGGATTAGAAAAGTTTCACTGTCTTGGTTCTTGTTTTCTTTTGAGTTTTCAGTTTCACTTTGATCCATGTTTTTTGTTGTCTTCTGGTTTTGTTGGTTTAATTCCTATTTTGTGGTGTTTTCTGGATATATTTGAGTTCTTAGGTATGTATTGGTGGCCCTCTGTTGTCCTCTTGTGTTGTTCTTCTTTCCCCTAACTCTTTCTAGAACCCTCTGTTCACACCTGCTCCCAATCAGCTCATTAGTCCTGTCTTTGTTCAGGCGTCCCATATACACTCATCGGCCACTTTATTAGGTACCCCATGCTAGTAACGGGTTGGACCCCCTTTTGCCTTCAGAACTGCCTCAATTCTTGGTGGCATAGATTCAACAAGGTGCTGGAAGCATTCCTCAGGGAGTTTGGTCCATATTGACATGATGGCATCACACAGTTGCCGCAGATTTGTCGGCTGCACATCCATGATGCAAATCTCCCGTTCCACCACATCCCAAAGATGCTCTATTGGATTGAGATCTGGTGACTTTGGAGGCCATTTGAGTACAGTGAACTCATTGTCATGTTCAAGAAACCAGTCTGAGATGATTCCAGCTTTATGACATGGCGCATTATCCTGCTGAAAGTAGCCATCAGACGTTGGGTACATTGTGGTCATAAAGGGATGGACATGGTCAGCAGCAATACTCAGGTAGGCTGTGGCGTTGCAACGATGCTCAATTGGTACCAAGGGGCCCAAAGAGTGCCAAGAAAATATTCCCCACACCATGACACCACCACCACCAGCCTGAACCGTTGATACAAGGCAGGATGGATCCATGCTTTCATGTTGTAGACGCCAAATTCTGACCCTACCATCCGAATGTCGCAGCAGAAATCGAGACTCATCAGACCAGGCAACGTTTTTCCAATCTTCTATTGTCCAATTTCGATGAGCTTGTGCAAATTGTGGCCTCAGTTTCCTGTTCTTAGCTGAAAGGAGTGGCACCCGGTGTGGTCTTCTGCTGCTGTAGCCCATCTGCCTCAAAGTTCGACGTACTGTGCGTTCAGAGATGCTCTTCTGCCCACCTTGGTTGTAACGGGTGGTTATTTGAGTCACTGATGCCCTTCTATCAGCTCGAACAAGTCTGGCCATTCTCCTCTGACCTCTGGCATCAACAAGGCATTTCCGCCCACAGAACTGCCGCTCACTGGATGTTTTTTCTTTTTTGGACCATTCCCTGTAAACCCTAGAGATGGTTGTGCGTGAAAATCCCAGTAGATCAGCAGTTTCTGAAATACTCAGACCAGCCCTTCTGGCATCAACAATCATGCCACATTCAAAGTCACTCAAATCACCTTTCTTCCCCATACTGATGCTCGGTTTGAACTGCAGGAGACTGTCTTGACCATGTCTACATGCCTAAATGCACTGAGTTGCCGCCATGTGATTGGCTGCTTAGAAATTAAGTGTTAACGAGCAGTTGGACAGGTGTACCTAATAAAGTGGCCGGTGAGTGTATACTCTGTGCAGTTCTTCAGGGCTGGTTCCTCGTCTTTCCCTGGCTCCCCACATGAGTTTTCCCATGAAGTTGTCTGTTTTTTGGCTCCATTCCATGTATTGTGTACTTTGGTTTTAGGATTTTTCTCTCAGTTATTTAATTAAATCTACAAGAACTCTGCCTCCTCACTTCTGCATTTGGGTCCTCAAAACCTAAACCAAACCCTGACCGCCCTGGCATTTTGGACTAGACTGACCCACCACATTTTTTTTTTGGTGTACTGAATGTGTATACCAACTGTGCAATACTTTGAGGCCAGGTTCATGGAAATTAGTGAGAGTGGACACTTAAAATACTTCGAAAAACTTAATTTATTAAAACTGTAAAATGTAAACTCCACCACAGCAAAAATTCTTAGATCAGGGTGAGAGAGAGAGAGAGAGAGAGAGAGAGAGAGAGAGAGAGAGAGAAAATTCACAGACAACCACACAAATTACTCTACGCTTCTCATGCTCTTCTGTGCGCTGGTGCACATGCCTCCAATCAGACATCCCAGTAATAAATGAGCTTCCATCAGAAGTCTTTCCAAATGCAATACATACAAAACAAAATAAAGCATGACGTTTCTCACAATATGTGAGCCACCTCCTGTTGGTTGCATTTTTAGTGGTGAATAACTCGATTTTTTGTGCTTTGTTGTGGGCGGTGATTCAAAAAGTTTTGTAAAAGACAAGGTTCAGGACGGGCAAAGTGATCTATTTCCTCCTGCTGAGGTGACTGTAAAAAAGTAAACTGAAACTTATTGGCTTATTTTTCTGACTGATCCAATCAGCTCTCTGATCAACCAGTCGCCTGGATCGCTAGTTGAACAGAGCATCGCTTTGGACAGATACGCTGCACAGGTTTCACCAGCAATCACAGTAGTTCTAATCCGCACATGATGCATGAATTATTGTATTGCCTGTTCGCTCTCACTGGCATTAAAAAACTTCACCTCCCATAGTCTAAAATCCAGGATAATTTATCCGACTCGCGGGCATCCGTGAACAACTATCGATATCAGGGAGACTCCCGGAACTTCCGGGAGATTTGGGATGTCTGCAACCACCACCACCATTATATTTAACATCAGACACCGGAGCAGATGAAGGGCCTGCTGTTGGGAACATGTCAGTCAGTTTGACACATTTCGCAGCGTCCGTTTGAAGTATGGGGTTCCGTTAGTGCCAAAAATATGTTTATGTGTCTTCTGGTGTGTCCATGTGTCTATGTAAGGTGTGCATGTATCGTGCTTATGTAATGGAAGCTGTATATGTAGCGTACATATTGTACATATACAACTTCCATTACATAAGCACAATACATGGACACACCAGAAGACACATAAACATATTTTTGGCACTAACGGAAACCCATATTGAACTTTTTTTTTCCCGCGCAGTTTCTCTGTGCCTCCCATTACTACTGTGAACATCGCTGCACAAAGTTCCAATGGAGAGTGAAGTTGTTTCTCTACTTTCTGATTGGCCTATGCCTTTAGACTGTCAGGAATAATAACCAATTTGCTGCAGGAGCCTGTGGTAAGGGCCGGATGATCAGAACAGACTCTTGCGCTGCTGATTTTATTTTTCTTCATGCATTATGCAAATATAACGAAGCCGTTATATAATAATAATAATAATAATAATAATAATAATAATAATAATAATAATAATAATAATAATAATAATAATAATAATAATAATAATAATAATAATAATAATAATATACATGTCTGGTCTGCCGGCCCAAACAGCCTGTCGGCCCACCGGGCAAATGCCCAGTACGCCCGATTACCAGTCCATGCCTGCTGACCGTAGGAACCAGCCATTATGGACCCAGCAGAGCCCGGCTTGGACACCCTGACAAACTTATTTTTTAACCTAAACAATGCTCTGGACACCATTGCCACTCTCAGCCCACCTTGGAAGAGGGTGAGAGCGGTTGGCGAACTAAAGGAGATTCTTCTCTCTAATGCCACACTCCTTTCTCCCCTAGTTTTATCTGAACTATGCGAAAAGTTGGAGTGGAACCGCCAAGCCGCTGTGCCAAACTCTTCCATAGACTTCCACCAACCAAACCATCACTTCGTCACATTTCTACTCTTCTGTCAATCGCCTCCATTCCTCTGTGGCCCCTCAAGGCATTTTAAGGGGCTTCAAAACCTAAACCAACTTACAAAAAGAGCGATTTCAATAGTTTCATTATCAAGATTGTATATTATATTTTCCTTAAGTTAAGAACAACGATTTTGGATATTGCAATGTGGAAGAAAAATCAAAACAATTTTTTTTTTCAGTAGTTAAATATGAAAGTGTGATTGCAAAATGCTTTAGGAGTTGTTTTTTTTTCTTTTTTTCAGATGAATAAAATCCAGTGTAGCCGATTGACTCCAGATTTCAAAATAAGAACATATACCGGTAGATTTTTTTTTGGCTTAGTCTATATGCCTAAACGTGTGTAGCTGAAACCAATCTCTGTTTTTTTTTAAACTGAATACGCCAATTTATAGTGTAAATCTTTTTCTATTATTGGTGCAAGCACAGAACACTTTTTTGAATGGAATTCTTTTGTGACATGAAACTTGACAAACAAATTTTGTAAATAGAACTTAAAAATTTTCTAATTTTGCAAATTGAAATTTGAAACAATTGCAATCCAGAAATGAAACTTTTGTGTTGAGAGTGATGTTTCTATTTGCTCAGATAGAATTTTTCCAACAATTGTTTCATCCTTTTTTTCCATTTTTCATTTCTATACATTTTAATTGTTTAACAGATTTAATCATTTTTACGTCTTATTTTTCAGATTTGTCTCTTTCAGTTTGAGTTTTAGAAATCTATCTTTTACAGATCCAAAATCTCTCTGCTCCTTGGGACAGGTTTTCCTCTGGAGTAGGGAACAAAGTCTAATCTCTATTGTTCTGCATGAGCGTTAAGCACAAAAGACCTAAAATACCTACAATATATTTTGTGTTTGCAATGAGACAATATGTGGAACTGCTTGGGTATAACTGTTCGAGCCAATCTTTCATTATTTTACTTTTTTTTTAGCCTTTTGTTGCAACAATGCAATTAGTAAATAAACATAAAAAGAATGCAAACCTCTGCACAACCAAGAAGATATAAACATACCACTAATGCCTGTAATTGCATATTTTACACATACCAACGACCACAGAGGAAGCATAGAGCTTATCGATTTAAGACCTAGATTACAGTACATATTAAATACCAATGTATTCTGTTCTTAATGAAATTAAAACCAGTCTGAGACCAGAAATGCGAACACACCTGCAATCAAATTTAGTTAGGAAAAAGCTTTAAAGTCCATTGTGTCTCCCTCATTCACTGAAAGGTCTATTAGCCATAAGGCTATCTGGTGTTAATACCCAACTATCTTTGGGGATCTCATGCATGGTGAGAACATACAGACTCCACAAAGAAGAACAAGCGTACGCTCAGCTTCAAACCAGGGAGGCTGACGAACTTTGCAACCAAGATTTATTTTTTTGTTAGACGATTGAATCTGACTTTAACTGCTTGGTACCTAACAGAATACTTCTGTTTTATAGCTCTAGTATTATTACCTTTCCTTTTTCTTCAGCTCAAGATTTAACTGCATATGTCTTTAAAGAAAGTAGGAAGCAATCAGCGGCTGAACTCCAGTTAATTTTTGCTAAGAGGATTATTCATTAACAGCAAGTCTCATTAAATAGCAGATAGCAATCATTCAGAGTTACACGGTTGACCATTAACCACCAAAACCACAGCTGTCTATCATCTCACTGACATAAATGACATTCTTTTTTTAAAGTCTCACCCTGCAGGATCGGCAACGCTCTCCAAACATTGATCGGACCCTGGCTGCAGAACTGACCAAAGGCGCTTTCAAGGTAGAACAGAGGAATCCCAGTCACCACTAGCATTGTGAAGTACGGGATAAGAAAGGCTCCTGTTTGATGGCAACAGATAAGAATTAATAACAAAACTGAAAAGGAACACCACTGGATGGGATAGTGGATCAGATAATACCAATATACCCCCGCCATTCTTGTAGGCCAGGTATGGAAACCTCCAAATATTCCCCAGTCCAACAGCATAGCCGATCATGGAGAGGATGTAATCCCTCTTGCTTGACCAGTTTCCACGCTCAGCATTTTCATCCCCAGGATCTACATGTGGATCCTGCTTGATGTAGAGTTTAAAATGCAACAAATTGGTTATTATAATTACTATGAAGCTTAGTTCTAATAAAAAATGACCAACAGTAAAAATCAATCCAAAGAACCAGAACATTTGTAGCCAGCATATTGTCCTTTAGGATAAAAAATAATACTTATGATTTAAATTGGATTTAAAGTGAAAATAAAGGCAGAATGTCTCCCATTTCATTTTTTACCCACCATTAACAAAAGAAAAGGTCAAAGAAAAAAAACTTACCTGATCAACGACGGCAGGATTCCTCAGAATTAAATCCTTGAAACCTTTCCAGCCGTATTCCCTCATGTCCTCTCTGTTAAAACTTTAAAACAGGAAAACTGAATCCCCTCTGCAGGTTTGTTTTATTGGCCCTCCTCCTACCTATCACCTGCTTCGACCCTCCCTTTGTGGTTTCTGACCGCTTCTATTACCAAGCCTCTTAAACAGGAATATGATGACCAATGCTGAGAGATTACACAACATTATCAGGTCATCTAGTTCTTCTATTAACAGAGTTTATATGTGCACCTAAATAAAGTTTCTATGACTCCTCTCCTCCTCCTCTTGCATAGAAATGACATTTTATAAATAAAATAATTGTGACATGTGAACCGTGGTTTGTGTCAGGGTGCCTTCAGCACAGCCTAATACTCCCTTCTGCTGACGTGTGGCGCACAGAGCTCATTTTGGTCAATGACATCTACATTTAATAACAGCTTACAAACAGGGAGGGATTTCATGCAGATGTGGTCACATTGTCAGCATATAATCACCACAGGATGATGATATAGCTGCTACCTCTGCTCATCATCCCTGATACCGAGGTAACTTTAGTTAACTGGTGTCACTGTCGGTCTAATGAAGCAAACTTTTCAATGCAACATGTTTAAAGACAAATCAACTTTTAGAATTTTTTTTATTTTGTCAAATTTCTATTAGTAAATTAGTAATGAATACTTTTAAAATATCTACTGACATTTTTTGTTTTGTTTAACACTGTAGACTCAACTTCAGGGAAATTCTGGTTCCACTGGCTTATATAGAGTACAAAGAGTTAACGCAAAATGCCATCAATAATAAAAATACAACAATATGAAAACAGTGTGTATAGTACAAAAGAGCATAAAGAAAAAATAAAGAAAAAAGTAATTTCCTGGAATATCTTTTCCTTAGATATGAAAATATCTGCACATTAGAGAGCCAAGGGAAGACTACATAGTAGTTGACTTGGATCACTGCTCTTGCACTGCAGTTGGTCAATCATACAGATATTTTAACAGAATGCACATGCATTATTTGTTTTACCGTTTATCCCCCTCTGTCTGTCCATTTTTTTTGTATTTTCTCTCTCCCTACTTCTCCCTTTTTTCAGTGTTTATATTTTTCCCCATTCGTCCTTTTATTTCTTTATTCCTCTTCCCCTTCACATTTCTCCATGTTTCTTTTTCAGTTTATATTCCTCTCCATGTGTTTCTCTTTGTCCATCTTTCTTTTTGCTTCTTTATATCCTTTAAATCGTATTTTTCGAACTGTTAAGAAAGAGCCTGGAGTTTTCTTAAAAGTTCAACTCAAGTCTCCTAACCTAAAAAAAATAATAAAACCAAATAACTTCTCAAATTTTTCTGTCTGTAGCAAACAAAACAACAAACAAAATTCGCTAATCATTTCAATCAACTGTTTTTCAAACCGTTACAAACCATTCATCAAATTACATGACATACATTGGGATGGGGGGGTGCCGAGGGCCCCAGCTCGTAGGCGGTTCCCTATAGAGCTGCCTCAATCTCAGGAACCACATTGGGGAAGTAGAGGGAAAAAAACACATCAGAGCCGAAGTCACATGACGTCAATCTGACATTTGAGACATTCGTTGTGTGTGTATGATGAGTGCGTTCAATATGTCCATGAATGCTGTCCACAGTCCATTGTCCTTGATGAGATGGAAGTTTATCAACAGTTCTGGGCGCGTCCATAGATGTTCACGGGTGGAGGAGTAGTTCTCATTTAAAATGACCCATAATTTTTCCCATCTTTTTCGTCATTCTGCTTCATTTTATCTCTATTCTCCCACTCTGCAGAATCTGTTAGTTCAATATTCTAATATTTCTTATCATCAGCAAACTGAAAGTCTAATATTCTGCTCTCTCTGCTGTTTCTCATAGTAGCTTCATCTGGTCTGTTCCTGTTTGGCTGTGACATCATCCTGGAGAGAAATATCAGCTGTGCTGCTGCCATCAACACCTTTGTTTATAGATATTAGAGATCAACCTGTTTTCCAGTGTATTGGGACATGGGAGCTGGCTCTTAGCTCGTCTGCTTGGCTGTGTGTTTCCTGGACGGGGCCGCCTTTTACAGCTGCCTTTTGTATCTCTGCTTCTGTCTCCTTGAACCCCAGTCGGCCTCAGCAGATGGCCGCTCACACTGAGCCTGGTTCTGCTGGAGGTTTCTTCCTGTTCAAAGGGAGTTTTTCCTCTCCACTGTCGCTACAAGCATGCTTAATGTGAGGGATTGCCTTTGAGTCAATGAGTCGATGCAATCAACTGCTTTTACTTAGATAGAACATTTTTATTAATATGACTGTATGATCTGTGAACTGTAAAGTGCCTTGAGATGACATGCCTTGTAAATAACAAAACAAATAAATAAACTGAATTGAACTGACGTTATCGCTGCATTTGCTGCCAGATGTGGGCTGCTGTTTCTAGCTGCTGCCGCAGTAAGGAAGCAAGTTACTGTCAGTAATTTGGAGACCAGCTTTTTGTTTTCCTCCTGGATCCTTTGAGCATAACAATAACAATAAGCATTCTGATGGCATTTTAACAAAAGTATTTTAATCAACAACACATGCAAACAAGTAATAATTGCATTAAACATGTCGTATGAGGAGTTTTATGGACCCCTCAGAAACTCAGAGTCCCCCAGCAAACGGCCTGGTTTTGCCAAATTGTGACCCTGAACAGGAAAAAGGAATATATCAAACCTCTTTCAAGTGTGTGTGTAAACGGAGGGCTGTGTTAAATGTCTGTCAGCGCCGTGCAGATGTCATTTACCCCTTGTAGACATGCTCTGTGTTTTGTTTTGAATTCCTTTAAGGCTAGAATAATTTATTCACACAAGGAAAAAGCTTTTATATAACCTGTCAGAAAGGTTGTTTTTTTCTTAGATGGTGACACTGGGGAAGAGTCTCTATATTTAGCTCTTAATCCCATTTTTTTCATGTTAAATGCAATATACTATCTTTTTTTATACCTAGCTATTTTTTAAAGTAATATTTTCTACAATTTTCTGAGGCACCTAGTGGCCCCCACTCTGAAAACTACATCGATAAAGTAGGTGGGACCTAAAGTTGGAGTTCTCATTTTACAAACATTTTTTCTCAATACACATTATAACCATTTAATATTAACATAAATGTCAAGGCTCATCATGAAGTGTGTGTGAACATGATTGTTTCATATGAGGACTCCTGGCTCCCACAAGTGATTTGGTCCTGAAACATGTATTTTTCCACAAGTTTTTAACAAATGCAGTTTAGTTAATGAATGATTACTAGCTGTAGCAGTTATTCTGAGTCTGTGTGAGATATAATCATGACAAATGTTTGCAGAGCACAGCAGGCTGACGGTGCTTTCCAAGAACTCATTTGTGTCATTTCTTGTGTGATTTATTGAAGGTAATAATCGATTGACGGATATTTTTAACTTGCCGGTAAATTGACCTTTTTTTTTCTCTATAGGCATTGCAACTCGTTAACAAAGAGAACAGAGGAAGCCGAGGGAACGCTAGAGTAAATAAATCAGTGACGATGAGATATTGCTGCTACATTCAAAGAACACTTGTTTTTTCTTGGAGATATTTAGAATTCAAATCTGATACCAGGAAGATAAGTAATACATAACAGGGATAGATGATGATGTAAACATTGTTTTTTTTTTTTTTTATAACAGTTGGTAACATTACAGGCCATACACTGGAAAATTGGAGAATTGAAATACTCTTAATTTGAGCAGAAAATAAGAGAGTGATAATGCGTATTACTCTTAGAATAAGATAGTTATATAATATGCACTTCAAATAAGACAATACAGATGTTTTGTCTTATTTTAAATGTAAATTGTCTCGTTTCATAGGTAAAGTGTCTCACTTACCTCCTCAATTCAAGAAAAAAAATGTACTTTTACATTTTTGCAGTGTAGCTGTGAAATGCAAAGTGGGTTAAAGTTTTTCACAAATACATTTCTGACAGCTGTGGTATGCGCTTCTATTAAGCTCCTTTGTTGAGCCATATTTGACTACACCTGCAGTTTCAAGGAATACCTGTCCATTTAGAGCCTGATATTTAGAAGCATCTTATATCCAAACATGTTTTAAAAGGAGCAAAGCGGAGCAGAGTAATCTCTGTTAGCAATTCAGCAGACTGCATGTGTAAACCTTCTTTTTTAATTGTTTATTTTCAGCATATCATGTTTCAATGAGCCAGTTATCCATGGGTGGAAGATTTGAAAATGTAAACTTTCACCACGTGTAAAGCGATTTTCCAAATCTAAAACTCAACTGTTGTAGTTTTTATGTCTTTTTTAGTACTTTTTAAAGTCAGGTACAAACTGACATGCAAAAATATCTGCAGTTACTGTTGCCATAAAAGAGGCATTGGTGACTAGATGAGGAGAGGGAGTCAGTGCACATGTAGACAGATTTAGACAAATAAAATAATAACAGTGGAATGAAAATAATGAAGGGAAACATCCATGCAGACTGGTTTAACAACAAGTTCTGTGACCTATCATAGACTGTGACCCAAGAGCATTTCAGAGACTTCTGTGGGTTTCAGGTATTATTCTTGTGACATTGGTTAAGTTATAAATCCTGGGATATAAGGGTTAGTAGATAGAAGACTGCTGAGTAGAATCCACAACAGCTGGAAAGATCTCAGAGCATAATGTAACACCGGCACAAAATTAATGCAAGAAAACGATAACTAATTACATAAATTAATAATTGTGGTATGGGGGACCACTAGGGGGCGTAGAGAAAGTATCTGTATTAGCACGCTCAAACCCGCTCATGTCCTAGTGGACGATCAGGTGGTAACAGCCCACGCTACTTGTAGAGGAAAACCTCCCTCCACTGTTTTAATGGACCGCTGTCGTCCCTCCAGGGATCCTCATTCATTGGGGCTCAATCCCTCTGCAGTCCAACCTCTGGCACAGATGTTCCAGGATCATTCTACAGAGCCCAAGTTCAGCCGCTTTGGACATTTGTTAAAAACCAAAGATCTGTTTTTTTTTTTGTTCTTTTTTTTAACCCTACTGAGTGTTCTGGAGGGGGGGGGGTCATGTGGCAGACCACTAGGGGGCTCCACTGTCACTCAGGGGAAAAGTTCTAA